ATAGCAAAAAAAAAAAATATCTTAAAAAAAACAACAAAACAAAACAAAAAACCAATATGCTTTCATTTTACTTAGAGACAGAAAACTGACCTGAGATAAGTTTGACTTGACCCATTTTGACATTTTTGATGTTTATATTGCAATAAAGACAAAATCTTTTATTTTTAAGAATATTATCATACTTTAGTTTTAGTTTTTTCAGGCTTTAATTTTTAACACCGTCCTTTCTCCTGTGACATATCTTACTGCACTCTTAACCATGATGCTAATAATAAAGCTCACCTTTAATGATCAGAGAACTTGAATGTTGAAATAAGCTATTTTTAGAAATGTTGGGTTTATGATAATGATGAAAGTTGTATCATGTTGTTATGGCAACCAAAATCCTAAAGTACTGACTAATGACAAGCTCACTGATTTGGGAAATAAGCACTTCATTTTTCATCTCAGCAGTGATTTAAGTGCATTATTTATACTACATTTTTGAAAATGCAGTTAATTTCTATGAACATATTTTAAGATGAGAATGATAACTTCGTTTAGTTAGATATTAATTTTTTTTTCCTAAGAGGTATTTTTGCAATAGCATACGTGTGCTCGCCAGAAAGACAGTGACAGAGAAACAGAAAGTGAGAAATCGCCCCCTGGGAGAATGGCCATGCTGCTGTCCCTTCTTCATTTGCATCTTGGGATCTTGGACACACACACACACACACACACACACACACACAATCCTGGCGTGAGTTTAAGCCACTAGGTCTGGTACTCGAACTGCGGTCAACTACGTGGAGTCTAGAGACATAACTGTCACGCCATCTGCTGGTCCCTATATATTAATCTTTATTAAGATTTTTTAGGGGCCTGTAGGTGGCGTAGTGGTTAAGGCGCTAGATTCCCACATGGGCAGCCATGGTTCAAGTCCCAGACCCAGTCACTTGAAAATCACGCCAGACATGTTTGCATGCATGCATGCCTAAATTCCTGAGAGGATACCGGAGGACAAGGAATTGTAGTGTGGCCACCCCTGAGGAGAGATTTCTCACTTTTTTTCCTCTCTGTCCTTCACTGGTGAGTGCATGCACCATTAAAAAATAAATAAATAAATAATTTATATACTACTAGATTGTGATGACACTGGGACATTTGTAACTGGAAAAATTGCATGAATTAATTGGTGGCATTTTGGGGGCCAACAGATGTCATAGTGATTATGGTGCTGGGTTCCCGAGTCCTAGACCCAGTGATTTAAAACTTACCCTGGGTACATGTGCTTACATGCCCAAGATCATGAGAGGAGGATGGAGGAGAAGACAGTGGAGGAGATTGTGATGTGGCCATCCCCCTGAGGGGTGATTACTTCTTTCTGTCTGTCTCTCTGTCTGATGAGCGCAGGTATTTTATTTAAAAAGTCTCTCTTAAAAAAAAATTGTGGCATTCTGATGCATAAATAATTGAAATATGTTGCCTTGGGGCCGTGTGACTGATTGTGCCATTCAAAAAACACCAGGGGTGTGTGCATGCTTGTCCAAAATCTTAAGTGGATGATGGAGGAGAAGAGATTGCTACATGGTCATAACCCCTGGGAGGTGCTTTCTAGTTTTCTCTCCTTCTCTCTGTCTCTCTTTGACATACCTTCTCTATAACCCCACCCCACCCACCGCCAAAAAAAAATTCTATAACAAACTGATCTTCATCTTAAGTTCTTTTATATTTTTTGTTGCCTAACAGTAAATTAGCTACATAATACTGGGTTGTCAGAAAAGTCATGACACGTTTTTGCATAAAAAACTTAGGAAAATATGTCATGACTTTTCTGATAACCCAATATTGTATATGTTGTATGACACACTGGTTTAGCAAGCTACTTTCTAAATATAAAAAATGTCAAGAAAGACCTTCTAAAACGTGGAAATAGGTAGATGAGATCTGGAAGAATATCATGTCCTTACATTGTCATAATGAAGCATTGTTAACAAGGCCCATCAGCAACTATTTAGAGGAATGTATCTTTGACTCTTGGTTTACTACTGATTAAAGGTCCCAATCTAGGTGGACATGTTAATTAATACTTTCTGTCTGATAGAAGAGATATTCCAAATATTACAGTTTTTCTTATTTTCTAGCACATTAACCCCTTTTTTTAATCTAACCTATTTTATTCCACCCTTTTTATTTCAAATGCCTATAAATGACCAGTTACTGAAAATTATCTTCGAACAAGCTTATCATCTTAGTAGTTTCCTCCTTTAGTGAGTTATTAAATTTTTGACATGTTCATTTTTCATGGATTATGTTTTTAAGATTTGAAAATTAAACTTGCCCTGGAAGGACTATCACACTTTCTAAAGGCCATTAGAGCACCACCTATTAATTAAATACCTATGACAATCACGTGGTAGCAAAGAGACCAGGAAATATAGTGGTCTAACCTTATAGGCAATCGTATGAGAAGTCTTAAAAGAACTCATAGAAAATGTGTATTATGGGGACCAGCAGATGGCGTAATGGTTATGTCGTTGAACTCCCACATAGTTGACTGTGTTTTGAGTTCCGGACTAGTGGCTTAAAAACATACTCGGCCTTGTGCATGCATACCCAAAATCTCTAGAGGAGAATGGAGGAGAACGGATTGTGGCATGGTCATCCCTCCCTCGCTTTCTGTCTCTCTGACGAGCATGTGTGCCCTATAGCAAAAATCTCTTTAAAAAAAAAAAACAAACGGGTGGGGGAATATGAATTAGAGAAATTTTGCACCAGAATAAACTTATACTTTAATTCTATTTTCCACAAACTTTTTGCAGTTCTCTTATAGCTTATATTCAAATAAAAAGTATCTCACTTCCTTCCCTCTTTTCACCTGGCCTTTTCGTATGTCCTTTGGTCTTGTAAAAACGGGACAGAAACCATTCCTAAAATACTGTCCGTTCACCCATGAGCTAAGGCATAGCTGTGATTGAACAGAGTGTAGTAGGTAAGCTCAGGTGGCTCTCTGTGCTAGAACACCTGCTCAGCATTCAAGAGCTTTCAGAAACTCATTAATGGGCTGAGATGATTTGCTGGTCATTTTGTACTTATTTATGCAATAAACGGAGTGTTCTATTTTGAGCATTTACTATTTGTAAAATGATTCATCATTATTTGAGACTGTATTTCATACATGATATTAATGATTAATTTAGGCCCAGACATGAGACAGGCAGGCAGACAAGACAGATAGATTGACAGATAAATATATAGGTATTTTTAAAGATAAAGAATGAATATGCATAATAATTATTATAAATAAAAGGGGTAGAAAAGCAGCAAGAGAATAAACCTGTTTTAGCACTACAGATACCATTTATATGCAAATAACTGATATGCTTATTAATCATTATTTAGGGAACCAAATTCCCTAAAACAGTGTGTGTATTGTATATCTGTACATATATGTAAGTAGAGAAATAGACACATAGAGGTGTTTTGTTTTTAAAAACAGCTCATTAAATTGCTCCAACTCTCAATGGAATAGTATAATTTAAAAACTGATATGTAAGTGGAGAAATAGACACATAGAGGTGTTTTGTTTTGTTTTTAAAAACAGCTCATTAAATTGCTCCAACTCTCAATGGAATAGTATAATTTAAAAACTGAAAGTAGCTTATAAAGATTACTTAGTTCAGTACTTTGTTTTACAATGAAGAAATTAGTTCTGGAGAGATTAAGTTACTTGTTAAAGGCAGTAATAAAATAGTGGCAGGGCTTCAACGGAGTCTTCTGACAGTAATTCACCATATCATTGTGTCTTCACTGTACCATATAGAAATCATTAGTACACATTTAATGAAGGTGAATGTGTGGTCACAATAAATGTATTTGACTTTGTTCAGATAAATTTACTCTTACACTTATTCAGAAATATGGAGTTACACTATCAGCTATACTTCTTACTCTAAGTTTGAGTTTGACTGGGAATCACTTTGGAGAATCTCATTCTGTTTTGTTCCTATCCCATTAACTTTGCAACTAGTGGATAGACCAGAAGGAACAGTTTCTTTTTTTCTACACAATGTGAAAGACTTTTCTCAACCAGCTTTTACTACCTCTTTATCTTTTCCAATAAGACCATGTTAATTTTTTTAATCCTAAAAGGATTAATAACACTGCTTATGATGGATAATTTAATTTAGATTATTGTAAAAATCAGAAAAGTAATGCAACGGTTCTCATGACTAGGTCTAATGAATAAATAATGCAAGCAGCTGAAGATGACAGGATATAATTGTCATTAAAAGAGGGTGTGGATTCAGGTTTAACCAGCCTAGTACTGTTTTTTTCCAGCTGGTTAATTTCTAAAATATTTGCAAGACTATGTGTATTATTCTTTTATGTATTTTATGGAAACATTTGAGAATGCTGCAGTTTGTTGTAAGCAAGTGTGACATTTTTGCCTAGTGTTCTAGAGAGAAGGAAAGAAATGTCAGGGATGTGGTTATTAGTGTAGGAGCTCTAGGTGTAAGGGCTGATTATTGTAAGTTTTTTTGAGAGAGAAAAGTTTCTGTAAACTTGAATAACATGAACATCTTTTTTCAAGGTTGATATGTTATCAGCGGTTTTTGCAAATCCATACATGGATGTTGGGTCACACTTTCTATTTCTTGTTCAGCAGCTACTATATACAATGTATTCTCCTAGCCTGAAGGATATACCACAGTGAATAAAACACAGTTCCCACCGTGCATTACCTACATAGTAATGGGGAATACTTTTAATAAATAATATATATTTAGAAATATATTTTATCCCAAAATCAAGACATATATTGGATTGTCAGAAAAGTCATGATGTATTTTTCTGTTTTGCTGTGCAAAAATACATCATGATTTTTCAGACAACCCAATAATTTGTGTAGCGTTATATCTGGTAATTATCAAAATGAAATGCATTGTTTCAAAGATAAAGTTTCCTTACGATTCCTAGTATTTCCAGAAAGTGTGTTCATTTTGTTTGTTTATCACCAGAGAGCAGATTGTAAAACAGTCTACAGAATTAGTCTGCAGAGCCTATGCGGAAGTGTATGCAGCTGTGATGAACCCAGTCAACGAATACAAAGATCCAGAGAGCATTCTACACCGTTCACCGCACCAAGTGCAGACACTTCTCTCCTGATGAGCTCGTGTAATTGTGTTCACGAAATAATGCATCCCTAAAACACTGAAGGTGATCTTGCTTATGGTATATTAATCCTTTGAAATTTAATACTTCCAGCTTTTTTTGGTGTGTCCTAAGATTATAGGTCCCAAGAATTTCTTTCGGTCTCAATAACATGGAAGTAAGTAACATTCTGACCTGTTAGAATTGCTCCGTATCTGCTCTCCATAGAAGTGCTATCTTCTGAGCCATCCACCTCTACAGCTCTGTAGTGTCCCCTGTATTCTGGAACATAAATGTATGGCAAACAACGGTATAAGAGATTTGAGAGGTTTTCCTTTTCTATGAACTAGTTCTAAATTGACAGCTCATGAAAAAAATAATTTGTCTAAACAGGAATTAGTATAAGGATATGGCCTAATAAATGTCTCTTTACTTAAAGATTTATGGCTTTTATTTGAATAGTTGTATTTAATAATTTTTTTGAATTTAGCCTCTGTCTATATCTCCAAAATAACTGCCTTAAAGAAGCTATTAGGAAGGAGAAAAATAACAGTGGATTGTGCTACAGGTGTACATACCTGCAAATCTCTTTTCCATTTTACTTTAGCACATAGGGCGCAATAGACTACATATATTTTTATGCAGTTTTACGTATACACTGAGCAAAAAGGAAAAAAAGAAAACAAATTTAAATAGGGATTCCACTCTAGATGTCCTGGACAGAACTTGAGGTAGAGCTGAGCACTCCCAGAGAGTGCTAGGAGCAGAGGCCTGAAGCTGCACAGCAACCTGGTGTTTAACAGTCCAACCAACCACAAGTTTTATTTGGTATTCAAACCAAAGAAATAGTGATCTACTGAACAGCAAAGGGAGAACTGCAAGAAGAGTGTTGTCAGTGGTAGCAGGTCTATCTCCATGGCATCCCTCACAAAGTACGATCTGGGCACCAACTTTAGAACTTTACCTCTAAGGACGATTCAAATTTGCTGTATTTTAAAAAGTAATTTAAAAATAAAAGGAAAAACTGTTTGATGTGACTTATCTTTGTGGTTAGGTTTTAACAACCAGTGTTTTTTAGCAAAATATCTTGATTTCTGGTGAATCTACAAAAAGGGATATGTCCCTAAATAATAAGTGAAAAACTGAGGTACAAGGAAAAAAAGTGACTAGTTTAAAATATTTCAAAATTAATAATAATAGAGTTACTATTTATAGTAGATCATATATCAGGTCTTCAGGAAAGTCATGATTATTTTTCTATGCAAAACTGTGTCATGATTTTTCTGACAACCCAATAGTATATAACATAAATTAGTACTTACAAAGTGTGGCCTGTTTATAATTTTTTATAACTAATAAGTTTGGGGGACCAGCTGGTGGCATAGTGGTTCAGGCAGTTGGATGGCTGACTGCACTGTTTGAGTCCTGGGCCTGGTGGCTTGAAAAAACACCAGGAGTATGTGCCCAAAATCCCAAAAGGAGAATGAAAAAGGGATTGCTGGGCAGCCTTTCTCCCCTGGGGGTGTCCCCCTAGGGAGTGCCTTTTCACTCTCTTTCTCTCTCCACTACCCCTGGGGGGTGGGTGCCTTCTTACCCTCTCACTTGCTCGCTCGCTCGCTCGCTTGCTGTCTGTTTTTCTCTGGTAAGTGCATGTACCCTCTGGCAAATTATAACAATAATAATAATAAAAAAAATTTTTTTAAGTTTTTTTGGAGAATCCATTTTGGTATACATCTGTATTTTAGTCTTTCTTCAGTGGATATGTGTGACATAAAAGAGACAAAATTATAATATAAATCAACAGCTTAAATTTTACATAATTTATTTCTTCTGTGGAAAAAGATTGATACTTTACCATTAGTGAATTCCTTTGTTTTGTAGGAAAAAAATGTATTTTATTTACTGCCTGGTTTTCTCAAATAAAATATTAAACTATTTCAAAAACAAAAATCTTTGCAGTATTTTTATATATCTCATCACTGTGTATTTAGAAAAAGTATGACTGGAAAGGGGAGGCAAAACTGAAATAACTAGTGAGAGACTAGTTATGGCAGAATGTATCATGATACTGAGAACCAAGTCAAAATAAAAGATTATAAATGGTAACAATTAGCATAATACTTAGATTTATGTAATTCATAGTTTGCATTTTTAACTATTTGTTTTGGCTTAAGTATAATCTTGGGCATTGTATATTAGCCTGTTTTTCAAAAGAAAAAGTATTTACCTGGCAAAACCTTTCTCTGATTAAGCTTATCTATGTCTTTCTCTAGACCTATACCTGAGCAGGCAAATATTACGTGAGAAACATTTTACAAATGGACCGACTGACTTTGCTTTAAACTCACTATCACAGTTGTCATATGGGTACTGCAGTCATCTGAATGTCTATGTTCACCACAAATTCTTATGTTGAAGCCTTCACCTCCAACATGAAGGTGGTATGAGGAGGTAGGGTCTCTAGGCGTGATTAAGTCATCAGCATGGAGTCCTCATGAATGGGATTAGCGCCTTATTTAAAAAGCTTAGAAAGACTCTTCATCCCTTCTACCAGGTAAGGTTGTAGTGAGGAGGTTGCCTTCAGTGAGGAAGGAGGCCCTCACCAGAGACCAGCTCTGCCTGTGCCTTGATCTTGAACTTAACTGCCAGAAGTATGAGGAACAAATTTCTGTCATTAATAAATTACCTAGTTTATGGTAGCTACAGTAGCTCAGAGGACTAAGACAGGCATTCAGTGTTGCTCTGCAGCTTTGTAGTTTTACTCCATCTCTTTGGCAAACTCAGTTGCTCACTTTTCAAGATGACTTTTCTACCCTGTCTCTCTTAGTTCATGTCTTTCATAATTCACTTAATAAAATAGAAATGGTTAGATTAGTCCCCTCATATTCCTGCCCTCAAATATTATACCTATCTTCTCTGTCTTTTGCTCCTTTTGCTTAGGAGATGGAGTCCCTCTTCCCATGACAGGCTTTTTCTTTACTTTGTGCTATAGCTCTCATTCTTTCATCCTCTCTGAGCCTTATTTTTTTTTTTTGATTATCCCTTCATTTTGTTTCATCAACAACTTCTGACCTCTTTATAGAATTATTCTCAATGGTATATACAATATTATAGTATTCATAATTAAAAAAAAGAAACCTCTCCATCTCCTAAATTCAAACAACTCCATTTCTCTTTTGCTTTTATGCACTTTTGCACATACCATCATCTACTTTCTTATTTCTCCTTCTGTCTTTAAAAGATCCCAGTATGTCTTCAGACTCTCATTACTACAATAAGACTACCCTAATGAGATCTCCATCAGTGTTGTATGTATCATAGATTAGTCCCCTCATATTCCTGCCCTCAAATATTATACCTATCTTCTCTGTCTTTTGCTCCTTTTGCTTAGGAGATGGAGTCCCTCTTCCCATGACAGGCTTTTTCTTTACTTTGTGCTATAGCTCTCATTCTTTCATCCTCTCTGAGCCTTATTTTTTTTTTTTTGATTATCCCTTCATTTTGTTTCATCAACAACTTCTGACCTCTTTATAGAATTATTCTCAATGGTATATACAATATTATAGTATTCATAATTAAAAAAAAGAAACCTCTCCATCTCCTAAATTCAAACAACTCCATTTCTCTTTTGCTTTTATGCACTTTTGCACATACCATCATCTACTTTCTTATTTCTCCTTCTGTCTTTAAAAGATCCCAGTATGTCTTCAGACTCTCATTACTACAATAAGACTACCCTAATGAGATCTCCATCAGTGTTGTATGTATCATATCCAGTGGATTCTCACCACAAACTCTGTGGTGAGCACTAGAGTTTTTAAATATTTCCAAATGATATGTCTGTCATTGAGGAGTTTTCTCTCTTGCACAGAGATAGTCAACAAGTATTATGAATAAACAGAAGGCATTTTGGTAGGGAAAATGTGCATTTAAGTAGAAGGAAAAATTGAATTAATATTACCCTTCTATAACTATCTTTCTTCACTTCATTAAACTCTCAGTAGCAATCCACACACTTCTATTTGAAATACTATCATTTCCAGGCTTTGATGGCACCATTTCTCCTCATTTTTCTTCTATTTCACTTGCCTAATCCATTCCAACCTCTCCCTGGCTCTCTTGCCTCTAAATGACTTCTAAAACTCTAGAACTTGACCCTAGAAACCTTTTTTCTCTTTTTATCCTCCCTTTAGGTATTATTTCCTCAGCATAGCCTATTTTATCTGGACTAATATTAGCTCAGATGTTTTCAGTTATAGCCACATAATAGGATACTCTACAATAGTGAAAACAAGTGGTTTTCAAAATATGTAATGTTTAACAGGAAAAAAATACATAGTATTCCATTTATAGAATTTTTTTAAGTATACAATATTAATAGATAATGCATGATATGACGCTAAAAGAAATCACAAGTGATTAGGTCAATGCAATATGTGTTGAAGTTACCAATAATTTTTTTTCTTACAATGGGTTGTTTGTTATTTCATTTGTTTAATAAATAGTCTTTAAAATTTCCAGGTATCTTACATGAACCCTTCTCTGTATATTTTACAATTTAAAAAATGTTTAAGGTTTGGGCCAGTGTGTAGTGTAGTGGTTAAAGTGCTGGACTCTCACATGGTCAACCGTGGTTTGAGTCCTGGATCCAGCAGCTAGAAACTTAGGCTGGGCCTGTGTGCATATGTGCCCAAAATTCCAAGAGAATGGAGGAGAAGGGATTACAGTGTGGCCATTCCTCTGGGGAGTGATTTCTCTCTTTTCTGTCTTTGTTTCTCTCTGTGTCTCCAACAAGTCCACACACCCTGTAGCAAAAATCTCTGAAAACAATTAAAATTGTTCTTAGCACAGGGTCTTCTGGACCAAAGTTAGGGCTCAGTGTATGTTAGCTATTTTTTTTTATTACTTTCATTATTGAACACATTTATTAAGTACCAGCTGATGGCTAGGCTTCTGTAATGAGCACCAGAGTTTTAAAATGTTACTAATCATGTGTCTGTCATTCAGGAGTTTTCTGTCTTGCACAGAAGTAGTCACATGTATTATGAATAAACCATGCATTTTGGTAGGATACATGTGCGTGTAGGTAAAGGGAAAAAATGAACTAACACCATCCTTTACAGCTCAGCCAAATGTAGGTACGTGAAGTGATTGAGAGCACAGAAAAAGTTTAAAACCACAACTATACAGTTTTCTTTCTATTCATGCTGACATCAGCAGAAATGGTAAATTCGAGAATTCTAAGATCCACTTTTATATAAAAGTAATAATAAAAAGTCTTCAAAAAGCTGTCAACATCTGCAACCAGCAGATGGTAAGATGGTTATGTCACTGGACTCCCACATAGTTGACTATGATTCAAGTCCCGGACCCAGTGGCTTAAAATTAATGCCAGGCGAGTGTGCGTGCATGCCTAAAATCCTGTGAGGAGAATGGAGAAGAAGGGATTGCAGTGTGTCCATTCTTCCTGGGGGTGATTTCTCGCTTTCCAAGTGTCTCTCCGGCAAGCACACGTATACCCTATAGCAAAAATCTCTATTAAAAAAAGAGAGAGATATCTGTAAACATCAACTTTGTCAGTATCAACTTTGTCATAACTTGGAAAACTAATGCAAAGCTTGCAGCAACCTGGATTGTTTTTTGAAAATAATGAAGAAAAGAGGCGAAAAATTGACAAGAACAGCAAACATTGTAGTTTTTAATTAATGCTTGTCCTGTATCATGCTTCCAAACTTAGCAGTAGGCTTGAAAAAATCATTCCACATTCCTAGTATTGGAAAGAACTGAATGGACCTTTTCATTACTTGCAAGGA